TGAAGTTTACAGAAGTCTAAGCAGCAGCATGGCTTGTAGAGTCAAGACAAAGACAGTTACTTTCCTGTTGGCTGTATTTGTCTTTGAGTTGACCTGCAAATGGGGTGTGGAGGTAGGAATGTTGTGTTCTGTTTTGCTGCTTCATGATTTTTAAAACATTTAGTAGGTGGCTTTTTTTAAAGGTGGGAAAGGGGGCAAGAAAGGAAGAAAATTCAAAATTTGCATAACCTGTTTTTCCTGGAGAATTAGTAAGATTATATCACAAATATCAAGAGCGTACAACCTGTGCATACTTGCGAGAAATCAGTTCTTTTGGAGGTGGATTTCTGCTGTCCCTTTTAGGACTGAGAACTCTCACCACAGTTCTTTTGTCCTCCAACGAGTTCCCCAGCAAAATTTAAAATGCATCTTGATATTTCTAAAGTTCAAAAAATAAAGCAGACCTCCTCATAAAGAAGCAAAGAGGATACAACCCTAATTTTTTTCCTTACTAGTTACCTTTAAGTAAAACTTAAATAAAAGGAGGGAGGGAAAGTAATGTTAAATATAACTTTTAAGGCCAACTTCTGCCACAGATATGTACGTGTAGTTCTTGTTGAGTTTGATGGGAAATCGTGCATCTATTTGAGGGCAGAATTTGGTTGTGTGTTCACTATTGGAAAATTTGTAGCATTATTGGTGGTTCTATGTTATTGCTGATAAGAAGGGTGATCCATAAACCTTGGAAGAAAAGCAGGTGGAGGATGGAGGGTTAAAGACAACTAATTCATTGGCACATTGTCTGTATTTTAGTCCAAACCAATCAAAATTTCTCACAAGAGTGGAATCCCACTGGATATCTTGCCTCAGAGAGGTCTTACGGCTAAGCAGACTGAACGCATGCAAATGATTGATCAAAGTGATCTGCCAAGAGTATCCACACAGCCACGTTCCAAAAATGAGAGCAGAGAGGATCGAAAAGCTAGAAAACAAGCTATAAAGGAAGAACGAAAGGTAAAATCTAGTCTTTAATATTTTAAGACAACCTCTCGGGAAAATCTGTTGCTCTATTCCTCATTATTCTGTTTTTTTTAAAAACATTTTTTCTTTTAAACCAATTTATTTTGTTCCTGGGAATTATTGGGAAAAATTCACTGGTCTTCAAGGGTTGATTTCTGTATCTTTCTGGAAAATACCATTCACTGGAAAGTTCGATTATTATTTTTCCCCCAAAAGTAGGAGAATGTTTTCTTGGTAATCATTCTGCAAAGATTCTCAATTTCTTTCAATAGCCTTTTCTCTCTACTTAGTTTTCCCTCTTCTGTCTGCTCTTAGTTTCTCCCTCTCTGTCTTTGGTCTGGTTTTGTTTTTGTTTTATTTTGTTTTCCCCCCCCTGGGCTGTCACTACAGAAAGTAAATTCACTTCCTACTTTCAATCTTTTCTGGTACTGCTGCCGCCGCCGCCACAACCAGCCCGGTTTCGTTTATTCTGACCTTTAAAAGCTGGATCATGCCAGCCACTGGCAAAGGAAAAAACAGAAGAGGTAGCTGAAACTGGAGTCTTTTTTTGTTAGATAAAAGTCTAACATGCTTCAACCTGGGAAAAGAGAATGTGAAGCAGCATGTCTCTAAAACTTAGATATTACTCCTGGGGGAATTCTGCGCCACTGAGCAATGCAGAATTTTGTAGAAATTAGTGCACACGCAGATTTTCCTTTCCCCTCACAGAAATGGGCTGCAGTGCTGATAGCTGCCACTAGAGGCCACTGGATTCAGCAGAGCATAGCTTGTACACCGAAGACTCTGCTGGGGGGAGGGGGAGGGAGCTAAAGGGTTCCTGGCAGCTACAGTTCCCAGCATTCCCTGACGGAAGGAGAGGGTGGTACGCCGGAAACTCTGCAAGCCTGAGACCGAGCATCAGGCTTTCTCTCCCATCTGGATCCCTGGGCTCGGGCTGGGGAGGGAGCAGGAGGAGAAGGGTGCCTAGGGAAGGGGGGCCCCACAGCTGGGCTCTAGGAGGAAGGAGGTGTGGGTATCTGGGCTAGGGATGGGGTGCCCCACGGTTGGGTTCTGGGGAGGAGGGCGTTTGGGTGTATGGGTGGGGGTGCAGAGAAATAGGAACTGGGTTGTCACAGGGTTTCTAACTCTACTCCTGGGGGAGATTTTCTGTGTGTCTGAATTGTTACAAACATACTTGGTGACTGGTATTTTGAAATAAATTACCAAAATAATTGAAACTGGCATGATTATGTAGTGTTCTTTTGACAAATAAAATTTGGAGAATTTTTTGGCACAGAATGCCCCCAGGAGTAAGATACGTGGGGCACCCTATGCTGCAGGTGCTACAACGGTACTGTTGCAGCACTGCAGCTATTCCACTGTAGTATAAACGCTTGCTTTCATCAACATAGTGGTGACTGCACTGTGGCATAGGTTGTCTTAACTATATCTCTTGGGTATGAATTTTTCATACCCATGAGTGATGTTGCTAAGTCAACCTAAGTTTATGTGTAAACCAGGCCTTATTTAGCAATGTCTCTGAAAGTTATTCAGATATCTCCTTTGGATTGTGAAGGTGTTGGGGAGTGAATTATATACTTCTCTGCAAATCTCAAAAATAGGTTTTTAATGTGTAAGTCCTTCATGTTTGCAGGAACGGAGAATGGAGAAGAAAGCCAACAAATTAGCCTTCAAGTTGGAAAAAACAAGGCAAGAAAAAGAACTGCTCAATCTGAGACAGAACGTTCAAGGGCTCAAGCTGTCGTAGTGGAACAGATGACTTTCATATTGTGGAAAGTTCTTTGCATTGTTCTTTGTGCTAGGATCTTGGGAAGACAATGACTCTCTTAACCTTGTCCCGTCATGGACAGAAGTTCATAACATGGTATTTGAATTTTTCTATAACCAGATCCAGTAATTACATTTAAAAAGATGGGAAAACAGCTGAAACAATTTTTGGTTACAAATTAAAATTTACAGTAGTATTACTGTATTTTTCTGTCATGAACATAACATGGCAGTTATTTATAAACTGAGTTACACTGGGAGCGTGTTAGGATACTTAAATTACAGAAAAATATATATCTTCTATGCAACAGGTTTTGTATATATTGAGAAAATTTAACTATTATGATTCAAGAGCCCTCGGTGCTGTTTCTTGATTAGATTTACGTATCTGAATGTGCGTAAAATAACTTTCCCTCCCTTTATAATGGTATTTAAATGCAGGTTCAGTTGGAAACCATGCTTTGACCTTAGCACAGTTCAGTATATCAAGAATATGCAGTATTTTCCGCCAAGCCCTGTCCAACTGTCTGAGGTATCTATTGCTGTTTGAATACTATTGTGAAGAGTATTAGAAAATCGTATTTTAAGAGAGATGTTTAGAAAACTGTTTTAAATTTAAGGGTTGTCTAAATTCACATGGTTGTGCGTTCCATTTCATTTGGCGGGTGAAATAATTAAAGATATTTAATGCAAGATTTAGGTTATACATTTAAAATCAAAGTTAGCAACTTTAACATCATAATTTCCTCATGAAATTAACTTGGCTGTATTGAACAGTCTTGCAAACAGTGTTTGCTATAAAATATTCAAACAGTAATAAGTCAAAACTATACACACCCAGATAAAAAGGAGTAGAGTATGCTACATACATGTGACACAATAAAAATTCTGTTGCACTTCCTGACTTTCTGGGACCTTAACTCTGCAGTCTTAACATTGCACTGTGAGGGAGCTAAACTATAAATGCAAACATTGGTGCTGTATGGGGTCTAAATCATCCATGACCTAGGCAGGAACCTCTTGGAGATGGGCAGTGGTTCATCCTAATCAGACACCGTAAACATCTTAGTTCTGACTCTAGCATTGGCTTTGATATCCTTCATTCTGTTGATGGCAATGGGCCTATACACCTCAGAAAGGTGAGCAAGAGTTGCCCCTTTATGAGCAGAAAAGGGAAGTACCTAATCTTTGTAGTTCAACAGGACCACAACATGAACATCCTTTCATGCCATTTTGCCATGGTCAGCTCAATGTAAAAGTCTCTGTGTATGCTGCTTGCGGGTGGGAGATTCTGGTAGAATCATAACCTATTTCTAGGATATCTGGTACTATTTTTGGAAGAATTCTGGACTGGTGCCCAGGATATAAGAGGAGAGAATTTAAATTACAGTTAATTTAATCTCATCCCAGTTGGCTAAATCCTGAGCACTTTAGGACTGGTGCCTGTGAGGCTTAAAGAAAAAAATATTTTTTTTATAGTGTGTTTTTTTTTTTGTTTTTTTGTTTTTTTTCCCCTTAGTTTTTCTTAAGTTTTTGTCAGGTTGTTTTATTGCTTTTGGAAGTTTCTTTAAGTTCAACACAAACTTTCTCTCCTCTATGGGTCTGATGTAATTGTTTAAATTTCTGTTGATCCCTGTGTGAACTGACACAGCGGTACATACATTTCCCTTTCTGTTGTCCTTATGAACACTAAATGAAGATGAGCAGAAAGCAGTGTGAATCCTCTGTGTATAGAAACTTTTCAGAGTGCTTTGGTTATAACATCTATTGCTGCTTGTGAGATTGAACTATTGAAATTCAAACCTAAAACCAGTTTCCTTTTCTCTCAAATCTCTTCCCACGTTCTATATTAACCAAATCTGTAGAAATTAGCTCACCTAATTATGATATCTGAGGAGGGGGGAATTTTGTAGAAGTCCTGTATGACAAAAACATCTTTGTTCATGTTTTCATTTGACTTTTAGCTATACTAGTTTTCATGTATATCATAGGATAGGGCAGGATGTATGTGTCATAATGGTTAATTATTTGGTTGCTAATAACTGGCAACTTGGATTATTGCAAGCATTTGAACTGTGCAAGTAAAAGTTGACCACCTAGCATCCATGTTTCCTGAAAGTGTTTAAAGAGGGAATTTGAGAAACTTGTATATAGAGATGAGTCAGATGCATGGAACAGGTGAGTAACGTGCAAAGCTTAATATTTAGAGTAAAGTGTAATTTTGTGGGTTAATGAACATGAGTTTATTAGAAATATTGCCACATGTTCTAAAAGAGTACTATGATCTAGCTGCTAAAGTACACAAACCATAATCCTCTGCAGTTGGATATTCTGTTCAGTTGCTGAAGCAGAGGTGGGAAGTCATGAAAAAGGGTATTCTGCTTGTAGCTAGGCTTTGCTGCCAAAACTCTGTGCCAGATCAAGCAAGAAAAATCTTAATTTATTTTGTCCATTCCTAAAGAGTAATCACAATTTCTTTAGCTATTCTGATATTTGATTTGCCACAGTCAGTGTCCTGATATGCCTTGCATTATGCCATGAGAATGTTAGTAATACTCTATAAGCCAGTTTGGGAAAGTTTCTGTGCTCTAGTTGCCTACAGGAAGATGAAGCAGGCCTGTTCTTCCCATTGCTGCTTTATTACTGTATTATTTCCTTTCTCTCTTGGTTTACCACCTCTATAGAGCAAAAATAAATGAAAGGTAAGGATAACAAGAGCAGGCCAGAGCAGGAACAAAGACAATGGAGAAGTCAAGAGTGTTTTTAAAAGGGAGAGAACAGTGGGTGGAATAGAGGTTAAAAAGATGTTGGTTGGAAACAATGAAATTGAGGAGAGCTAATGGAATAGAGCAAAAGGTTACAAAATTACTTTGGTCCTCCATTGTTAACAATGTCACTGCTAATTGTTGTAATCAAGTTACTATATATGCCTTGGTATTCTTTTCCTAATGTCTGCTACAATAAAAAAAACTTGCCACGAGTCTCATACTGCTAAGTGGCAAACCTTGCCTTCACTTCTATGAGATTACGTGCAAACCCTTAGACCTGCAAGTCTGTGTTTTGTTTTGTTCCCCTCCCGCCATAAATGGAGGGGGGGCCGGGGTTGGACCTCTTTACAGGTACACTCCAGCAATCTACTGTTTTTGCCTAATGCTGTGCTCAGTGTGGAGAGATTGAGATGAAATCAGATTTGTGTTGTGTTAAGACATGGTACTGTTGTTGGTTCTCTCAAAGTTTTCTTCCAAACCATTTTCCCCTTGAAAAATGCAGTTCAATCAAAACTGTGATGCTTAGCAAACTCATGTCAATTTCACTGAAATTTTACTTTGAAGGAAAACAGTGACATTCTGACAGTTTCAAAATTAAACCTTTTGATATTTCACTTTGAAACTACAGTACTTTGTTTTGAAAATTGTATTTTGTATTGTATATTATAAAATTGAAGGGGTTTTTTTGATTATCCAATGATTTCTTTTGTCAATCTTCTGTAGAGAATTTTGAACTTGCAGGCTTTTCCCAATTATAATGAAAACAAAATTAATAATCCTCAAAATGGAATTTCCATCCTCCACAGCTCTACTTGCTACTATCATGTTTTAGTTTAACATAACTTAACTAATTCCCAAGTTTAGATTCCTTAGATTCTGACATTGTACATGAATAGTTTTTGGGGTTTTTTAGGGCATATTTTTCATTTTGTATAATCAAGTTTGCAATTTGCTATAAAAATACATTTAGGCTACCTAGGAATTTTTCAGGTATTCCCTGAAGTATTCCCCAAGAAATACTTCATGTCCCCCCCACCCCTTTGCTCTGTTGTTCTTTGGATCCCTGACTTTCCAGTATACAGCTTTAAGCTGGCACTGACCAGCTCTTCTAAGCACCTATTCAAGAGCACTTGAAAATGGTTTTGCTTCCCTCAGAAATTTGAGAAATTAGGGGTAAGTACTAATATACACTGCTCTCTTCTTTCCTTGTATCTCCAGATCTTTGTACGACACGAAAGATCATAAGGACACTATTAGGAATATGGCATGTGAAGTTTTATGTTTAGTTTATACTTGTATATATGAAATGGATCAAACATTTGTGGCTTCCCAAAATGCTTGCAGTTATCTTCCATATTGGGTTTGGTACAGCATAACTTTAAAATAGAAAGGTGACTGTGTCTAAATATATGCAAACTTATAACTTACTGGGTTTGTCATACAGGCTGTTAGCTGATATGCCATTATACATATATCCTTATTTATTAATGAACCTACTACTTGGCTTAGTCTGGGTCACTCCCAGCTATTTGAACAAATACTAAACTTCTGCTAGCCCCTTAATACACAATTAACTTGCAAGTGAACATTACTACTACAAAATAAAATCTTTCTTGAACATTATTTAATGCATCTGCTAAATATTCTGTCACAAAAGAAAAAAGGCTGTGTCACATTTGTAATAACAAAATGTGTCTTACTGCTTTTAAAAATATAGGCCATCATCTTCCAGTTGACTGAGTCACTGCATCATTAAGGATCCTAATTTTTATGTGGTTTATGAATGAAAAGGATTGGAATAAAACAAAACCTGAGTGTGGGCATCCAGCTTCTCCTTTTTTAGGTGAGCTGTAATCTCTGTAGTGACATACTCTCTGTATTGTATCACATCTCCACTCTTCTATTATGATGTCATAGAATGACCTTGTTCTTTGCCATGCTGAAGGCAGCACGAGGAGGATCAGGTCTACTTTAATCTCAGTAAATGGTTTTGCAATACTGATTTCCTTTGTAGTCTGAATCAAAGGTACTCCTACATTTTGTTTCATAGTGTATACAAGGTCCAGTCTCATACACTACATTCCAGATATTAAAATACTAGGGAAATCAAAAGTTAACCCCTTCACAAATGTTAGTTACACCACTCTTCTAGGTTTTATCTAACGCAGGGGTAGGCAACCTTTGGCACGCTAGCTGATTTTCAGTGGCACACACTGCCCGGGTCCTGGCCAGTGGTCCGGGAGGCTTTGCATTTTAATTTAATTTTAAACGAAGCTTCTTAAACATTTTTAAAACCTTATTTACTTTACATACAACAATAGTTTAGTTATACATTATAGACTTGTAGAAAGAGACCTTCTAAAAACTTTAAAATGTATTATTGGCAAATGAAACCTTACGTTGGCGTGAATAAATGAAGACTTGGCACACCATTTCTGAAAGGTTGCTGACCCCTGATCTAAAGTCTCATTAGCACTTGTTAAAGATGGTTCATGGGTGACTAGATAACTGCCTAGAGAGCTTTCAACTCTATGTAGAAGACTTGATTCCTGCATGATCATTGGAGGTGGTTGTTTTTAAGTAAAAAATACCAATCATTTGATTTGTGTGTTACACATTTTTCTAGTATGAGAATTCAAAATGGAATTTCTCAAAATGAAAAGCTTTTAAATTTTTTGTTTCAGAAAATGGTTTAGGTTTTACAGGGTTTTTCCCCCTTTTTCTCTCACTGGTGAACTTGTTTTCCCACTAGAAAAGTCAAGGGGAGGGAAGTAAAACGGTACTTTATCTCACTTAGTTATTTTTTTATTTAAAGTTTCACGGTTTTCTGGTGTGGGAAGAAAGAGTGGGAATTTTCTCGCTGTTTTGAAAAAGAAAGGTTGAAATGTTAAACTTCTTGAAATTTGTTTCGAAAACTAAGAGCATATTCCAATGCCATTTTTCCCCTTAAAAATTTAAATTCCAAAAATTGTGTTGACCAGTTCTAATGGGTAGTAATAACTAAAATGTGCTATTACCTGATTACTGTTTTGGCGTATGGAAAATAAACTGTTGCAGTCAGTTCTTAAGGGAAAGCTATCTGTCACCACTAGCGAAATTGGCATGCTTGTGTGCAAAGTCAGTAGAGAGGCCAAGGATTTGAATTGCCATGCAAGATTAACTGCCTCGAGGTGGCCACTCCACATTAGGGTACTTGTGCTGTATTTGCCCCTACATTTCAGTCTCTAGGGTTGCTAATCAGCCACCTCTCACAATGAGTACATTTAAAATTTTTATTAAAGCTAATGTTAAAATAATTATGTAATACATAGGTTGAGATGAGGGTCTGTACATCTGGGTGTAGTGCTTAGATTATCCACAAATACAAAGTTTGTTTTTAAAAGTCTCATGATACATAGAGCACGTAATCAGCAATAACCCTAATTTAGGTGAATAAATTTAAGAATACAGTTTAGATATTGGCATCCACGTATCCGGGTACATCACTCATGAGAAGTTGTACAGAGCTTTGGTACTAATGCACAAAGCAAACTATAGAGGAGGTGTATCCCCATGTCTGCACCATGGTAGGGAAGCGGTCGGGAGTACAAAATCAAACTGATTGTCATCAACCACTCCCTTTGCTTTCACAGCCCCATGCTGCATTTCTATAGCTTTGGTAGGGAAAGTCCAAGAAGAATGGAAAAATGTCTGGGCAAGAGTCCCCCTGTGACTGGTGTGGGGGGTGGCTGTATACCAAAGCCCACTGGCAAAATCTCGATTTGTGTGGCTCTTAGACAACTTAGTAAAAGCATGTGTAGAGAAAGACACATGGTTCCTGCATTTAACCAAACACAAGTCTTAAAGTTAGATACTATCCCAGCCTTCTAGCAAATCCCCCTGGCTAAAGAATCTGTTAACTATACTCCTCCCCATTTGGAAGGTACCGTTTGAATCGTTTTCCATTTGGCATATCTTCAGCACCAAAGCATTTCCAAAAAAGACTGTCTCAGCTTGTGTCAGGTTCGTCTGGTATCCTTTGCAATGCAGATATGTTGGTAGATGGTAGAGATTAAAAATGAACACTGTGCGTGATTACATGCAGTTTTGAGATGTTTTCAACAAGGTCACTCAGAAATGTGAATTTGGAAAGAAGCAGATAAAATTTATAGGACACATACTTGGCAAACGGAATTCAGCTGATTTCCAACAAACTGAAAGCATTATTCACCTTACCTGACCCCAAAGATGTTTCTACTGTAAGAAGATGCCTGGTCAAGACAGATCATTTTGGGAAATTCTTACCAATTTTAGCTCCTCTAAAAATCTTTAAGAGATTTTCTTAATGATCACAATATGTGATCTGGTGGACTGCAACACAAAATGCATTTAATTGTATAAAAGAACTACTGACATCTCTGCCCGTTCTTACACGATATTCAGTAAACTATCCGTCAACAGTAGCAACAGATGCCTCTTCATGTGGGGTAGTGCTCACGCAAAAGCAGCCAGGAGACATGAGACCTGCTGCATTCATATCAAGAAGCCTTACAGAAACTGATCAGTGGCATACTCAGGTGGAAAAGGAAGCTCTAGCAATCCCTTGGTCCTCTGCATATCTGGCTTGAATTTTAACACAGAAACAGATCACAAGCCCTACAGGGATTATTGGATTCAAAACCACTGAATGACCTGTAACTGAGGGAACCCCTCAATGCCAACTGGCAGAGGGCACACTATACTGTAATTCTCATCAGGCCTGATACACTCAGTCCCCCAATTTGCCAGTGTCATAATCCATGTCTTTAAGGCTTCATGTTGTTGGATTAAAAGTAATATAAATGCTTTGGGTAAAGTATGGTCCAGTACAGACCCTGGATTTGTCTTGTATTATTAGAAAGAAATAGGTCTCCCAGCCTGCTGAGTTTGTGCTAATTGAAGCAGGCCTGTTAGTTTGCAAGGTTTGTGCTAATTGTAGAAAAACAACCAGAGACAGAGTCTGTTCTGAAAGCGGTAAGATAACAACATGTTACAAATATTTTTCTGAACTCGGGAACAGAATCTGTTGTTCCTCCACATTTACATTCCTATCTTGCTTGTTTTCTTTTCATGTGTAACAAGTGGCATGGATAGATTCATTGGAGTCTTGTTTTGTTACAAAAACATCTGAGTGCTGCGTATTAAGCTGAAGAGTAAAATCCTCAGCCGAAGTACCAGGCTGGCGTGGCAGCGAACTTCTGTGAGTGTCCAGTGAAAAGATGTCCCTGAGGAACTTGGGAATGGGGATTGACTGTGTGTTACCTGCTAGGAAAGGTTTGGGCTGGCAAGGCAGACAAGCTGATGTATCAGCGGGCTGACTCATAGCTTAGCAGCAGCAAGGCTCACTTGCTAAGTCAGGGCGGTAACTCAGTTTTGGGTGACATGAGCAGGGCATCATATCTTCCACCTACGATTCAGATTTGATTGTGGATGATGCCGTTTTTTTTTTTCAACATGTACCAGGGAAAACACATAGAAACAAACACTCTGTCTAGAGCCCCAATTGAGCAGCCAGCACCAGAAGATGAAAAGGCTTTAGAGAAAGATGTCAAAGGTTTAATGACCTCATTTTGGCAGCAATTCTAGCAGCTGCCAGCTAACATTAGAGATGAACAACTAAAGGATGAGACTTGCCAGAAACTGACTCAACTCTACCGAAGAAGGTGAGGTCAAAGGAGTCACCTTCCAGCAGACCCATATTGGTAGGACCAAAATGACCTTAACACAGTGGATGGTGTTTCTGAAAGGACAATGCATTCTTATCCCAGTGGTGCTTCAGAAAGAGATGCTCGCCAAAATCCATGGACTCCAAAGTATAAACAAGCACCCAGCGCAAGCACAACAATCCCTACTCAGACCAGGCCACCATATGGAAGTTCAGACTTTAGTAGAGGGCTGCAAGATATGTAAAAGTGGTGGTGGTGGGGGGGGTGGGGGGGAATCACCAGAACCATTACTCTCTGCAGAGCTACCTGACAGACCATGGCAGTGGTTAGTCACAGATTTGCTTTTCTGGAAAGGACATACATGCATTATTGTAGTTGATTGTACTTTTCCAGATATATTGACAGACTTCATCAGCACAGGTCATCCAGAAACCAAAGTCAGTAGTTGCAAGATATGGAGCTCCAGAAGTCCTCATATCTAATAATGAGCCTCAGTTTACCTCTGAAACCTTCCTAGCATTTGCACAAGACTTTGATTTTGAACATTGTACTATTTGTCCACGTTACCCCAGAGTAATGAGGAGGTGCACAGAGCAGTGTGGACTTTAAAAAGACTTCTGCAAAAATCACTGGACCCATATAAAGCATTCCTTGGCCTATCGGTCAACACTGTCTGAACGATCTCCAGCAGAACTTCTGATGGGAAGATGATCCAGGATGCCTTTACCTGATTCAGCTTAAACTTAAGTGGTCCAACCTGAAGGAATTTAAAAAACTGTATACCAAAATAAAAATTCAGCAACAACGAAATTTGAATTTTCAGCACCGAACAAAAGCACTACCTGAACTGAGACCAGGGAACAAAGTTTGGCTTAACAGCTCCCAGACATTTGGAACTGTTCAGAACTTGGCAGAAATTCCCACATCCTACCTAGTGGGAACTCCGCCTGTACTTCTCTGGAGGGATCGGGTTCATCTGCAGTGTTTTCTAACAACACAGAGAGGATCTGGAACCTGCAGGTACTTTGTCGGAAAGTGATCCTCCTCCACAGGGAACTCCCTGCACAAACTCAATATGGAAATGAGAACATGGCCTGGAAGACTGATCAGACCCCTTCAAAGACTTGAACTTTGGAATACTGCTCAGGACTATTTAATTCCTTAAAACTATTTGCACTACTCTAGCCCCTTATCAGTTGCATTTAAAGTTCATTTTGAATTGTGGTGTGTGTGTGTGTGTGTGTGTGTTTGTATACATTGTCTTAGTGTTTAATCTTTTATTATTAAAAAAAGGGAGATGTGGTGGGTTTATAGCATTCCTGGTCCTCTCTGGAGGACCAGGATGTGTTGCAGCTGGGAGTTTAATAAAGGTAGGAATTTTCTGGTTGAGTTCTCCAGTTGGTGCTTAAACATGGCTCTTGTGTTTGTCCTCACACTACACCATCTCCCCAGAGTCACAACATGACCTGTCCATCACTCCTTTCTCAGGCAGAGAACAGGTACAGGAAAAGCAATAGGCCAGAGACAGTGGAGAGTTAAAACAGAGTTGGCAGCTGGGCAGGAGGGAGGGGGACTCATGAGTCTCTCCTTCCATTGGGCAGTGGGGAAGGAGCAGGACTGGGGAGGAAGCCAACAGCTCGGAGGGTGAGATGTCAGAGGGACTGACATGCTAAAGATACCTGTCTTCAATAGCAGAGAGTAGGACGTTAGAACAAGTATATAGGAGAAGTTCAGTTGGCTTAGAGCCAAAGTTAGAATTTAACCATTTAGGCATTTATCATCCTAGTATCTAAATGTGCCACTTGGTAAGTCTTCAGTTGAATGGTAACCCCTAACATTTCTTATATTAAACTGTAAAGTAACTCGTATGGAAATGGTGAAGCTGGCTCCTCCAGTTGGTAAGACAAACAGAGGAAATGGAGGCCTGTGGGGTATGAAATTTACCCCACCACTGAGGTGGAGAGATCACAAAAGGGGGAAGAAAAAACCCACAGGTGACTTTCGTTGTGCAAAAGTGCCCTTTATACAACCAGTTCCAGAAATCATAGGGCCTGCTCTTACCATTGATTTTGGGGGGTGAGGGCAAGAAATCCTGTGAAACTAATAGTTTGATATGTTGAATTTTATACAGCTGCCAGAAGTCAAGATTTGCTAGCTTGTGAAACCTGTGGAAGACATTTTGCACAAGATGTTCTGGTAAAACAAAGGCTTTTCCCCCTCTACTTTAAGTTTTATGCATCTGTGGGGGAATTGTGAGGGTTGGGGGGGAGGGGGAGGAAGAGGCAGTAAATGCCAGTAGCTTAAACACAGATGTTGAAAGGAATTTTCACTCTGTCTGTGGAAAAAAGAAGACTGACTGATCTGATCAGTATTCAGAGTACTGTCCTGCCCTGTGGTGTAAATAGGTGGTTTGTGCTTTCTCTGATCTAGCAATATTCCAGAGTGTGGCAGAAATAATTATAATGCCTTAGACAGAAGCAGCATTAGCAGAACATAAGGTCTTTGCCATAAGATTTTGTTTGTTCTTTGCATCCCAGTTAAGGCACGAGCCAATATGCAGGAAAGTCTTCAACAAAAAGCGCAAACCTTTCAATTCTTTGAAACAGAGACTGCAGGGAACTGAAATTCCCTCAGTGAAGAAACAGCCACCACCAAAGGTATTGTTGAAATTGTAGCAGGCATGTTGCCTTCATTCTAATATCTTTGGTCAACAAATGTTGTCATTCACTCCAGCGATGAATGGGTGTCCTGAATGAGCCTAGGATTCTTTGCTGTGTGTGGCATTCTCTCTTGGGAAATGCTGTCTCCTCGACTGGGTCTGGCTTTGTTCTTGCCTTCCCCTGTCCCCAGCCCTAGCCTTTATCAAGTGCTAATAAGTGGCTTGTTGCCTCCATAACTTGAGGCTTCTTCTCAGTGCAAGAGCCATGCTGGTGTACAGTGAAACTGTTAGGAACACATGGAGGCCTCAGTTCTTATAGGAGTTTTCCTTAAAAATAAAACATATGAATAACATACAAGCTTCTGACAGCTTCCTCTCTAGTTAGGTCCATGAGAGGAAGTGATGGTAGGACGCTGATCTGGTGCAGGAATGCTCAAGGTTCAGCTCAAGAGCCATCTGTGGCCTGTAAAGTCCCAACGACAAAGCTGCAGAGCTTTATTGCTATTAAATTCAAACAGTAAGCAATTTTTATTCCTTTATTTAAGGAAGATCATTATCTGTATTGCTGTGGTAACCATAGGGCCTAAGCAGGACTGGGGCACACACACAGCATTTGACTCACAGATGCCAATACTATGGTTGTGTGCTGTTTATCATAGAAGATTAGGTTTGGAAGAGATCTCAGGAGGTTATCTAGTCCACCCCTTGCTCAAAGCAGGACCAACCCCAACTAAATAATCCCAGCCTGGGCTGATGATCTCAGCCCAGGCTGATGAGGGTTTGCTGCTGATGATCTAGTAACAGCAGCAGGCTATGCAGAATCCAATTTCAGACTTTGACTGATTGAGAGAAGAGGCAAAAAATATAAGAGGAGATCAAAAGGGGGGAGGGGGGAGAGGTGATTGTCATGCTAACTTTCATATTTAATCCAGTATAAACTATAGTCCTCTGTGACCTAAATGTCTTGATATGAGAGGCTATTCTTTTATTGGTCCCTTGGAGCACTGGTTAATTTGTGAGGATGGGGAGATAGGTCAAATCACTTTTCTGAGTCTTACTAAGATTTTGTTCTGTTTCTAATATTTCTTCTTCCTCTTGAAATTTTATTTAGCAAAGAACCCTCAGTCAAAGTCTTTATATATCCCCATAGATGGATATATAGAGTTTGTTGCAGTACATTTCCTTTACAGAAACAACCAGAAAAGAAATCTAACTGGAGACAGCTGCATGAGGACTTTATTAATGCTATTCAGTCAGCCAAGCAAGTCACAAAAGCCATGAAAGAGGGCCGACCCCTTCCTCCTCCTCCACCTCCAAGCGTCAATCCAGGTTTGTGATTTAGTTTCACTTACTGCTGCTCTTGTGCTTGCTTACCTTTGGTAAAACAATGAGCTCCTGTTGTTCACAGATGGGCTTCAGCTTTACTCCATTCTGCGCAACCCAAGGTGAACATTAACTCCCTCATTCCTGATTGTTTTTAAAATGTAGTGGTGGAGCAGAGCATGAATTAGGGGCAGCCCTGGGAGCAGCTAAAGAGGGTTTCTGCATTCAGTAAGTAGTAGGAGGAGAGAATCAGGGAGAAGTAGAGCAACATAGATGAATTGCAGAGGAAGAAGAAAAATTGGCCCTTTCAACCTTAATGGTAGCAACTCATCAGTCTAGTAGCAGAGCTCTGAGGTGGGAGTTGGGATGCTTGGATTCTAGTCCTGACTCCAGCATTGACTAACAAAGGGTGAAATTCATCTCTTACCACTTGGAATAAACTGTAAGTCAGGCATAGGCCTCATGCTGGCCCTCTGCATTGGGATGAATTCACCTTTTAGGATTTTCAGAGGTCAGTGAGGGTGCTCAGCACCTTTGAAAGTTGAGCCTCTTGCTTCTCATAGACTTTAAGGCCAAAAAGGACCATCATGATAATCTAGTCTGACCTCCTGCACAGCACAGGCCACAGAACTTCATCCACTCCTGCAACAGGCCCATAACCCCTGGCTGAGTCACTGAAGTCCTCAAATCATTAAAGACTTCAAGTTACAGAGAATCTACCATTTATTCTAGTGCAAACCAGTAAGTGACTCATGCTGCAGAGGAAGGCAAAAAACCACCATGGTCTTTTCCAATCTGTCCTAGAGTGTGTGTGTGGTGGGGGTGGGGGGGGAGGAGAATTCCTTCCTGACACCAAATATGGTGATCTGTTAGACCCTGAGCATGTGGGTGAGACCAACCAGCCAGACACCTGGGAAAGAATTATTTTAGTAACTCTGAGCCCTCCCCATCTAGTGTCCCATTTCTGGTTGTTGAAGATATCTGCTAATACGAGATGCAGATGCGCCATGTGTCATTTTAGGCATCATACCATCCCCTCCATAAACTTATCAGCTCAATTATGAAACAAGTTAGGTAATTTTCCCCTACTACTCCCCTTGGAAGGCTGTTCCAGAACTTCACTCCTCTGATGGTTAGAAACTTTAATCTAATTTCAAGCCTAAACTTGTTGATGGCCAGTTTATATCCATTTGTTCTTGTGCCAGCATTGGGCCTTAACTTAAATAACTCCTCTCCCTCCCTGGTGTTTACCCCTCTGATGTACTTAGAGAGCAATCGTATCTCCCCTAAGCCTTCATTTTGTTAAGCTAAACAAGCCAACTCCTTAAGTCTCTTTTTGTAAAGTAGGTTCTCCATTCCTCTGATCATCCTAATAGCCTTTCTCTGCACTTGTTCCAGTTTGAATTCATCTTTCGTAAGCATAGGAGACCAGAATTGCGCACACTATTCCAGATGAGGTCTTACCAGTGCCTTGTACAATGGTAGCACTTCCCTGTCTCTACTGAAAATACCTCGCCTAATGCATCCTAGGATTGCATTCGTTTTTTTTCATGGCCACATCATATTGGCATCTCTTAGTCATCTGTGATAGACCAAAACACTCAGGTCTTTCTCTTCCTCGGTCACTTCCAACTGGTAAATCCCTAGCTTGTAGCAAAACTCTTGTTGTTAGTCCCTAATTACATGACCTTACACTTTGCATTATTAAATTTCATCCCATTTCTACTACTCCGGTTTTCAAGGTCATCCAGATCTTCTTGTGTGACATTCCAGTCCTCCTCTGTATTGGCAATATCTCCTAACCTGTGTCATCCATACATTTTATTAGCACATTCCCACATTTTGTGTCAAGGTCATTAATGGTCAAAAGACTGATCCTTGAGGAACTGCATTAGTAACTTCCCTTCAGCCTGATAGGTGAACTATCAGTATGACTCCTTGTGTCTCCCCTTTAACGAGTTCCTTACCCACCTTTCAATTCTATGTTCATTCCTATCTTC